CCCAGCCAGGAGCAGAATATACCTAGGATGTACCAGGATGGGAGAAGGGTGTTTGGTGCGGTCTCTCACACACGTGCACAGCACACAAGCACCATGTCACTTGTGTCAGGCAGGTAGTCTTCTCCCAGCAGTCCTCACTAATGACACAAGATGTGACCCGCTGCTTGGGCACTGTGTGCCCAGGCATCTAGCAATGAATATCACAACCGGGTTGGCCTGAGTCCAAATGGAAGCAACCTATTGTCAAACGGGTTAGCTGGACCCCTTCTAGGCATCTGCTAATCCAATCAGCAATACCCCATGGGCAACTCCACTGCAAAGCTTAACAGACATCACAACTTGGACATTGCCTCCTCTGTGCCATTTCTGACAAGGTTTCTAAGTGTGTCCTGATGAGCTGACTTGAGAGTTAAGAACAGCCACCATGGAGTTATGGGCTCTGCTGTCACATAACTTCCTCAAAACAATACCCTCAACTAACAACAAAAAGATACAGGCAGCTCTTTGGAAACAATTTTATTCAAAAGCTAATCTGAATAGCTGACATTTATAAGGGAGGACTTATGACAAGGACAAACACACAAGTGAAAACAAGGAAGGGTATTAAAATTCCAAGTCAGGAAAAGGCTGAGAAAGCCTGATTGCTGTGGCTGTCACACTGTCATTGCTCCTGTCACTATTGCATCTAGCCAAATCCCAGAGAAGGCAAAGAAGTGCGCAGCTGCTAGGGAAGCCACCAGTATCCTCATCACTGTGTGAGGTAGGCCCCTCCTGACACAAGCACACCCCAGCCTCTCAGGCTGTGCAGGTGCTCAGGGAAGCAGGCTATTTGGTGATAACTACAGCAAAGACAGCATTCCTTGCCTTCATTCTGGCAGTTGGAACACTCTTGAGAGCCAGAACAAAAACTGCACTACCTAAATGACAGCCTGCTGATCTGGACTTCCACAAATAGGTCTGTTCTCACTCCTGGTATAGAGAAAGAATAATTAGCTCCCTATTAAAGCATGGGTTACTGCTGTCTTAGTGGTAGTGTCAGGGGCACACACAATTTCGCCAGTAGGGGGAGATCTCATGCCAGCAGTCCATCCAAAAGCCACCAGTTTGCGATCTCATGTGTGCACAACACATAAGAAAACAACAAAGAAATACACCATCCTTTTGAGGGACCTCCATGCTACTTTCCAAGTTTACACTCCCACCAACAGTGTAATAAGGTTCCCTTTTGGCCACATCCCCTCCAGCATGTTATTAGATTTCTTGATTATAACCATTCTAACTGGGGTGAGGTAGAATCTCAAGTTGTTTTGACTTGCATTTCTTTTATAGCCAGAGATGGTGAACATTTCTTCATGTGTCTATTGGACATTCTTATTTCCTCTTCAGAGAAGTCTTTGTCTTTAGCCCACTTATTAATAAGAATTTTGTTTTGGTGGTGGTGGTAGTGTCGTGGGGCTTGAACTCTGGGCCTGGACACTGTCCCTTAGCTCTTCATCTCAAGGCGAGTGCTCTTCCACTTGAGCCACAGTGCCACCTCCAGTTTTCTGGTGGTTTATTGGACTTTACTACCCAGGCTGACTTTGAACCACTATCCTCAGAATTCAGCCTCCTGAGTAGGTAGGATTACAGGTATGAACCACAAGTGCCCCACAAGGCAGTTTTCTTTGAAGATTTGTTGTTGGGGGATTTAATGTTTTGAGTTCTAAGTATATTTTGGATATGAGGCCCTTGTCTATTGTACCGCTAGTGAAGATCTCCTCCCAATCTGTGGGCTTTCTATTGATCTTGCTAGTTATGACTTTTGCCATGCAGAAGCTCTGCAGTTGTATGCAATCCATTTTGTTCAACCTTTCTTTGATTTGTTGTGTTTCTGGGTCTTTAAAGAAAATTTCAGCCTGTGCCAAGGAGCCCTAGAGTTTCTCCTATTCCTTCCTGTAACGTTTTTAGGGTGTCTGCTTTGACTTTGAGGTCTTTGATCCATTTGGAGTTGATTCTGGTGCAGGGTGATATATAAGGATCGAACTTTAATGTTCTACAAGTGTTTAGCTAATTTTGCCAGCACCATTTACTGAAGAGGCTGTCTTCCATCCTATTTTATTTTGGCTCCCTTATCAAAGACTAGGTGGCCATAGGTCTGCAGGTTAATTTCTGAGTCTTCAGTTCAAATCCATTGGTCCTCAGGTCTGTTCTTGTGCCAGACCCAGCAATCCTACTTCTGGGCATTTACACAAATGACCACAAACAAGGCCATACTAAATTAGCTACCAGCACAACTATGTTTATCACAGCATTATTCACCATAGATGTCCTGCAGTAGATGAGTGGATCAAGAAAATGTGGTATATATACACAATGGAATTCTATGCTTAGATTACAAAGAATGACATTGCCCCATTTGTTTTTTTGTTGTTGTTGTTGTTTTTGTTTTTTGGGTCCAGTCGTGGGGCCTGAACTCTGGGCCTGGGCACTGTCCCTCAGCTCAAGGCTAGTGCTCTACTACTTGAGCCACAGCGCCACTTCTGGCTTTTTTTCTTTTTGCTTATGTGGTGCTGGGGAATTGAACCCAGGGCCTCAGGCATGCAAGGCAAGCGCTCTACCACTGAGCCACCTTCCCAGCCCAACATTGCCCCATTTGTAAGGAAATGGAAGGACTTGGAAAAAAATCATATTAACTGAAGTAAACCAGACCCAAAGAAACATAGGTCCCATGGTTTCCCTTATTGGCAATAATTAGTATATGTCTAAAATAATCTTATCAGATAAACAGAAAAGCTCAAAAGCTATGTACATATGACCATATAAGATGATGCTAAGTGAAACAAACTCCAAGATATGGTTCCAAGAGGTTTTTCTTTTGTTGTTCTCAATGTACTATGTGATTTCATTTTTCTTTTGTGTTTCCCCCTCTATGGTTTATCCCCTGTTCTCATTGCATTTGATTTTGGTACACTAAGTATTGTATAAATTTGTATCTGAATTAGGGAAGGAAAGGGGAACAAAAAAATGGTGAGATAAAGGGAACCAATGCAACAGTGATACAAGACACCATGTTGGAAATGATCTTTATAACTTGGGGGGAGGGTCAATTGGGGAGGGAAAGTGGGAGAAAACTGAGGGGGTAACAAGTTCAACAAGAAATGTACTCACTACCTTACTTATGTAACCAAAACCCCTATGTACATCACCTCGACAATAAAATTTAAATCAAAAAAATTAAAGAAATGCACCATCTACAGTGGTTACAATTTGGGACATTTAATTATTTAATTGCTTCTTAAGAAATTATTGTCGTAATTAGAAATGGGCATAGGGAAGAGGTTAGAGAAGACAAAACAGATTAAAAAGAGGCAAGTACCATTTTCCAAGTATAAAACTGGTAATATTAAAAGTGACATGGTAGTACATTCACAGGACTACTATTTCGCTTTCTGTTCTGTCTGGGGATGGTACGCAGGGTCTGGCACATGCCAGGCAACCACTCCACCAATGAGCCATCCCGCAGGAACTACTTCCTTCTAATGCAATAAAAAGACAGTATAACCTTTTACAGACTTTGCAGAAGCCAATGTGACTTCTCCTAACATGATATCACAAAGTCACTCTACTCACTTCTGCCACAGACTAGGTTTATGTGCACACATAAAATCACATATACAAAATGAAGAGCTCATAAAAGTGTTAAGTCAAACTAAGGCTCTGAATCACAATTAAAAGTGGCTATGGTAGGTCCCTTTGAAAAATACCCTCATGCCCCTACCGCTCCCTAACCCCCCTACCCACACCAATGCTGTGACAGCATAGAGGAAGCAAGTGGCTCAGGTCTGGTCCCAGGGAATCTGAAGGATCCATAACTCTCTAGGTTGCTGCTGCTAAGCCACAGCGGTGCCTTGTGGGGTGGCTCTGGGTCCCTGGGCCTCCTCCAACATGATGCACTAGAGACTGGAGACAACTGCCACACAGCTCTGACCACAGCTACTCTCTTGAGGCTCCCTCCTTGAAGGAAGCCATGTAGCTACAGATTTCAGCTACTCCTTGACACCTGTACACAAGAACAGCCACCACTCCTGAACCCTACAGTGTACCGTAAGGCAAACAGGAGGTAAGCACACACACACACACACACACACACACACACACACACACGCACGCACGCGTGCGCCATACAAAGCCATGGTGAGCTAGTCACAGTTCCTGGTGAGAAGTGCAATGCTAAAGAAAGACTGCTTCCAACAGATGTGCCAGAAGGAAAGACTGGTGTGGAACTCCCCTTGCCTGCATTCCCAGTGAGCACACCTAGAAAACAGAAGCCAGGAGAGGATGAGCATTCAGGAGCCCTGGGAAGGGGAAGGAAACTCAGCAAAGTTCCTCCTGACTAGCCCTAAGTTCTCTTCTACCCAAACAGAAGCCTCAAGACTGGCCCATCCCCTATGGGTCAGAAACAGCTCACTGCTGAGGAAAAAGGCACATAGTATGATGTCATGAGAACAGGATAGTGACTCTACTTAGATCAAGGCCCCCAAAACAGAAAGAGTAGGAAGTGGACCCAAGGGTTTGGGCCTGTCCTGTACCATCCTGAGCAACTCGTCTTACAAATCAATCCCAGGTTGTGGGATGGCCAGGTCCTCCTACAGCTGTCTGCCACCATATTCTTGTAGCCCAATAAGGTTATCCCATTCCACAGTGCTCCATCAGCCAGGGCAGAAAAAGGAACCGTACCTGAGGTAACTTGTCATAGTACCTCTGGAAGCTGAATAAAGGGTAAAGACAGGAAAAGTACACTATTGGGGAGAAAAAAAAATCTCTCCTATACCCTCCTCACTTTCACCTAAGATAAGTCAAGGCAACTTATGGAGATGCTTCAAGCCTGTCCTGCAAACAAACATACTCTCATTACATGAAGGCTTAAGGCAATGGGAGAGGGAGGCCCACCACCCACACACATGAGCCTGGGTGCTCAGCTATGCTGCTATTCAGGAAGGCACAGCAAAGGCTCTGACCCAGCTGTGCATGACCACTGCCACTACTCATCCAGCAAATCCTTAATTCTCTGGAAACCACATTCCTTTCCCATTCCACAACAAGAACAACAAAGCAATGGGCATATCTGCCAACAAGCATCTACAAAGATGGTGGCAACCAAGGTGAAGCAGGGCCTGAAGTACTCCCAGCCATGCCATGGGAGACTGAGCCATGTGCTCAGTTGCTCATCCTGCACCACAGGCACCAACCACTTAGCCAACCTGGGTCCTGGAAAAATGAAACAAGTGGCAATGAAAGAGATTCTAAGAGACAACTGACTTACTCATAAACAGAGGGCTAAAATGGCCTCCTTCTCAGGACACATTTAATACCCACCTGGGGAAACAATAGTTACAAAAATGCCTCCCATCTGGCCACCAAAACATCTGCCTGAGGTAGCAAAGATCCCCATATGCTATCTCCTGGCTTTCCCAAGGGATCAGGACGAGTCAGAATGGCCATTAAATAGAGATGAAAGCTAGAGAAGTTAGAAAAAGAAATGGCTCAAATAATTCCTAGGGCAACGTTTATATAACAAGGGCAAATTCATTATACTATGAAGAATCCTTCTGGGTCTTCCAATTGAAAACCCACAAAGTTAACAAAAGAGGAACCCAAATCCTGAGGTTGAAACTGTTACATGATCAATCTCGTGCCCTGTGGAGCAGGACCAGATGTCAAAGTTGTGTGTGGCCTGTTCCATATCCCAAGAACCTTCTGAAGACCATAAGCCCCTTGGGACCAAAAAGGGCCCAAGCTCAGTGGGGTTTTGGAGAGCCATTCATCTGGTTGCTCTGAGTTATAGTGTCCGTACTGTACAGGCTATCCAAGTACATTGAGGAGAGGTCTGCCACCAACTTCCTGTCAACAACTGCCTGGGCCATCCCATAGATGGCACCCTGTAAATCCAAACAAAATGAGTCATTAGTGAGGATGCTGTGCATAGGACCCCTTCTCCCACCAGTGTTAGCCTCACACCTGTAAACCACAACCCCTGTCCGTGTGTGTGTGTGTGTGTGTGTGTGTGTGTGTGTGTGTGTGTGTGTAAATCTAGAGAAAAACTCCTTACTGCCTTTCCTGTGTCAAAATTTTCTTTGCAAATGGACAAAACCACCTCCTGCTACATATATACATGTATGTATATGAGTGTATATGTCTCTATATGTGTATGTCTCTGTATGTATATGTGTGTATGTATATGTATATATATATATATACATACACACACACACATACATATATATATATATATATATCTGAGAAAAAATGCTTATTGACTTTCCTGAATCAAAATTCTTTGCAAATTGACAAAATCAGCTTCTGCTTTTGTAAAACCATTTCTAATTAACAAGGTATACCTCATCTTAGATGTCAGACAACCCTGGGAGAGCCAATATTATCAACAACAACTAACTTCTATGCCAGCACCCAATTTCTATGGGAAATTTCTCCAGGAGTTCTTACCATTCCTGTGGTCTTGGCTTTAGGGTTCTTCATGATTTGAGTGACAGATTCCCGGATGTCTTTTAGGAACTGGATTGCTACTCGCTTCTGGGTATGCACTAACGTGATGCAGAAATGAATGCTGCAGGAGAAGAAACAGAGACATCATTCTAAAAGCAAGCAGACCTGGATATGGGAGTTTGCTGACTGCCTCTTCACATTATTTCTATTGTTCCCTATCCTGGCCATCGATGTTCTCAAATACTTTGGTTGTCAAGTCTGAGTGGTTGAGGGCTTCTCAGCATGGTGAAGAAATATCCTCTGTTCTGCCTGCCCCAACTGTCAACCATGATTCCTTCAGCCATGACCTCTGAGACTTTTTTTTTTAGTGCAAGTACTGGGGCTTATCTGCCTGGACTAACTTGAAACCATGATCCTCAGATCTCAGCTAGAATTATAGGCATGAGCCACTAGCACCTGGCTTTATGAGACACTTTTACTTTTGAGGACATGCTTTCATAGGAAAAGGACCATATGGCTGGGGTCTCAAAGAACTGAATGAAGAAACTTTAAATCCCTGGAGGGATGATAGGGTGTATAAAATTGTGAAGAGAAAAAGAGTCCAAATGGAGCTGGTAATGGCAGTAACCTTTGAAGAATAAGCTGTACATAAAGGACACAGGACAGACCTGTTTGGTCTGAGGGGAGGATTTCATGGCATCATGGAAGGTTAGGTTAGAAAAGCATAGTGAAAAACACAGAAGCATGTCTGAGTGATCAGACACCTCCAACAGAATTTTAGCAAAACATTGCTCAGGTAGCATGTATCTTACATGCACAACTTCCTGACTGTGTACATGAAGAATGAGAGTATGAAGTTGGGGAGAGAGGGAAGCCCACATGACCAACTACTTGTCTCAAGATGCTGGCACCCAATTCTACCAGCCTAAGGCTAGGGTCTTTCTTGTTCCTTATGTCTAATAACACCAGGTGGCATCACGGCAATCCTACACATCATATTGCTGCTCATAGAGCTGCTACTGAAGTGCTAGAGCCGAGCAGCTAAACTGTGCATGTCGGATCTTCTCACTCCTCAAATCGCCAAATGATGGGGAGCAAAGGGGGAGGACAAGAGTCTTCCTCATGCATACCTGGGGGGGAACTGCAACTGGTTCAGGTTCCACCCCTTAGCAGTCATCAAGTTAGACAGTCGGTAGATATCAAAGTCCCGGGAGCCCAGTGCAATGACTGACAGTTGGGGATTCCCGAAAACAAAGATGCCTTTGATATTTTCTAGCCTGAAAACAAACAAACATAAAGGAAATTCAGCCACACAGATTCCTCTGACCGTATCTTTTAATCACCTAGTCTTCCCTGTAACACAATCTGACCTCCTGGGGCTTAACCTTCTCATCTTCTACACTAAAGAGAGACAGGCTGGGATCAGTGGAACTTAGAGATCACAGTCACACACAGAACCTTAGAAACAACCCATGGCCAAAACTCATCAAGACCTAATGAATCAGAACCACTGGCTCACATATCTCTATATCCCTCCCAAGCTACAGCAGAGAAAAAAAGCCCTTCACCTCCCCCCAGCACTAACTCCCGCACTGCTGCCCTCAGCCCTGGTCCTTCAGAAGGTGATCAATAGACTAAGGCTAGGTGCACAGTTAAGCACAAACCCTGAACTGACTAGAGGAAAAAGCAAGAGACAAGGCAGGATCCCGTTCTCCACACATACTCTGACTTGAGGAAGCGAGTGGTTTTGATGATCTGTTTGGTAGCTTCAACATAGCCGTTCTCACCGAAGTACATCAAGGCGGCCCAACAGGCTGCAACAATGCCACCAGGGCGAGAGCCTGCAATGGTTGGGGAAGCGTAGATGCCACCCTGCCAATCTGTCTCAATGAAGAACTGGTAGCTCCTATACTTCTTGTCACTGTACAACAGCACTGATGAGCCTTTCGGGGCATAGCCATACTGAGGGGAGAAGCACATGGGTGAGAACGTAGCTCTGCCTGGAAGACCCAGTCACCCTCCCTTCATGTGTGCACACATGTACACACATGCACATACCCAAATATGACAGAGTCTCCAAGATGCTTCCCACTCAGTGAAAAGTTCAAACTACAGTGTTGAGGGAGAGAAGGAAACTGAGGAACAAAGCTCAGACTCTCTGTGTTGGGGCTGGGAATCTGATGTCAAGGAAGAGCAGTCTGTGCAGTGAATGGAATTCTGCCCAGTGTGTGGCTCGCCTTGTTTAAAATCTTTCTCTGAGGTGATGGGTTAGGGTAGAAATAAGGACAGATTTCTACTGGAAGCCAAGAGGAATGGGAACCAAATCACCTGGAACAACTAAAATCATAATCTGGCCTACATCCCCCATCTTTTTTGCTTAATATTGCTCTGTGTGTGTGTGCGTGTGTCCGTGTGTGAAAGAGAGAGAGAGAGGAAAGAGTAGTGGTGCCTGAACTCTGGGCCTGCGCGCTGTCCCTCAGCTCTTGAGCTCAAGGCTAGCACTCTACCACTTGAGCCACAGCGCCACTTCCAGCTTTTTCTTCTTAGGTGGTACTGAGTAATCAAACCTAGGGCTTCATGCATGCAAGGCAAGCACTCTACCACTGAACCACCTTCCCAGCCCCTGCACTTTCTTTTAAGAACAGAATGGTGCTAGAATATAGAGTCGACCCAGAAATCACACTGTGTAGCAAATGTGGACTCCTAGGTAACTCTTGCTGAGCTAACAACATGGAGCTAATCCTCTCCCAGAACCACACAGAACTAGATGGTTAAGGAACAGGGCACTAAAGCTGATTGGGAAGGACAGATTCTGTTTACAAGTTTATTGTAAATAACTTCAGATTTTGAAGAGCAATCTTCACTATGTTCTAGTTCAGAACAGTTATGAAAATATAATCTGAACCAGGTACATAGTCTGAGCCCACTGACACTTTTTCCATCTCTGAATATTTGCAAAAATTGCCAAATGACCAAGACTTCACCTCACAACATCAAGGGTTGTGAACACAGGCATTTCAAACTTTGTAAGCCAACCATTCTAAGTGTATGGAGGTCCTCTTCCCAAGGAAAAGGACCTATATCACCTATATCCTGTCATCTGAATGCCTTGCCAACTATAAACTAAGACCCTGATTTAATTTTATACTTGTCAATTTATTTTGTGGTTAATAATCAAAATAAACACCCACAAGCATTTAATTTTATCTCCTCCTTAGCTCACCTTATGGGTATCAGCTGAAATGCTGGTCACACCTTTTACCCGGAAGTCAAATGGTTTGTCCAGTGGGTATCCTGCTTTCTCCATAAAGACAATGAGGAAGCCCCCCAGACAAGCATCCACATGAAGGGGTATTTTGTATTTGACAGCCAGCTAGTTCCAAAAAACAAAGAAGAGAATATAACTTTTGCAGAACATGGGTTGCACAGGTATGCTATAAACACAAGGCTATTCTGCATGTTCTCCCCCCCACCTCACCCCACGTAAGAACTTATTTCTGACATCTGACATTCCTAAACAAGTTTTATCTTTCAGTAGTATTTAGCCTTCAAAACAACCCAATTGGAATGTGACATCTACTTTATAGTTAAACATGTGCAATCTCAAGCTCCCAGCACCACTAAGCAGGAAATGAACAGAGCTGTGACTTAGGGAAAGTCCTCCTTTGCTACTTAAGATGAAGCGTGTGGAATGCTAGTGGGCATATATGTGGATTCTTCCTGATGAGAATATAAAAGTGAACACATTCCAGAATTCTCTTTCACAATCAGGCCTGCCCCAAGCAGATGCCAGTAACTTCAGAAGCTCCAAACAGAGCTACAGGGCTTACTCTAACTATTCTGTGGTCAAATCTAAAATCAAACTGCCTCTAAGGGCTGCCTATGTGGCTAAAGTGGTAGAGCCTAGCTGGTGTGAAACCCTGGAGAGTTCAAACCCCAGAACTGCCAAACAAAAACTACTACTATTTGCCAACTGCTGCGCCATTCGATTCTATTTTAAAATTTCCATCTGTTGCAGCCTAGCTCTCTCATCACCTTGGCCACTTCGCAGACAGGATCTATCACACCATGAGGAAACTGTGGGGTGGAGCAGACGAGCATAGCAGTGTTCCTGGAGATGGCTCTTCTCATCGCCTAGGGATTTAAAATTGAAGGGAAAATGAGAGTCCACGTCACAGATGTTCTCTTTTCTGCCACAAGAGGAAATGTGGGTCACTGACACAGAGTCTGGCCCACTAGTAGCTGCTAGTGGCCTGTCCATCACATACCTGGAAGACACCTCCCACTGTAGGGCAGGAGGTCAGGACACAGACATTGGTCATAGGAGCATGAGGGAAAACTGGCTGGGAGCACAATGCAACACTGTGGAGCTAAGGTCCAAAAATCCAAATGTTAAGTCCCCGCCCCACAAGCTACTAACAAACTCTAACCCAGTAAGGACTCACTCTCATTTATGCACTGCACTAACATAATAGCTTCAGCAAATATGGTTCTGATGGTATTCTAAAAAGTGCTTTTCTAAAATATGGGGCATAAAAACAATTACTATTAAGATGACAATGAGTCTTGGGACAAGTTCATCCATTTGCATTTTGCAAAATCTAAAGAAGTGCACTCATCAGCACAGCCACTGACAACTTTTTTACTGCTCCAGCTGTTACATGCTTTTTTGGGGGGTGGGGGGAAGCTGTCTGTAACCAGAGAGGCAGTCAGTATGGCAAAAGACTCACCCGTATATCCACCTCCATCATCTTGTTCAGTGGAACCCGTACAATCTTCATCCCAAAGTAACAGGCTGCTTTGTCAAATGCGGCATGGGCACTTTGGGGAGCCACACTAGATGATGAGAGGAGAATAATGAAACACAGACAAAACAGGATTCAAGTGAGGACATATTAGCTAATCTAAATCACTAGGAGGAAAGTTCTGATTATTTTCCCTCAAACATATATCGTTTATATATTGTTTTCTAAGTATAAAGAAGAAGAGGTTAACTAAGTTTTCATAGAAACTTTTTGCTATTTAGGAAGTTGTTGGCAACAAGAGAGAGAACTTAAAAAATAATTCTAGATGGAGAGGATCCAAGGTATGAATTGGGACTGACAGGACAAAGTCCAGGACCAGCAGGTTCAGATTACGGTGAAGGGTTAGCTGCCAGTATACTTCAATAAGAAGCAAGCTTCGTGACCCATGCTCTAGCAGACCTGTGAAGTTGCTTGATAGGGATGGGAGAGCAGAAGTCAAGCACAATCAGGCCAGTGGATCCTTCCAAGTCAAAGACCACAACCCTACACAAAACTGAAATCCCCATTTTCCTACATGTTCAAATTAGAATTGTAAACAGTGTTGAAAGAGAAACAGTCACAGGTACATATTTGCTTTCTGACCTCCCTCAGTTACTCCACTCTACAATTACTCTATTCTCTTAAAGGGAGAAATCACTCTATCATGAATGAATACCAAACATCAAAAACTTACCTAGGATGCAAATGGAAGCCTGGTATGTTCTTGTAAGGTAAATATGAGCCATATATATTTTTGAGATCATGAACTACCTTAGTGACTGAGACTTGCAGTAAAAAAGATTAACCCAAGGGGCTAGGAATGTGGCTTAGTGGTAGAGTGCTTGCCTTGCATTCATGAAGCCCTGGGTTTGATTCCCTAGTACCACATAAACAGAAAAAGCCAGAAGTGGCACTGTGGCTCAAGTGAGAGTGCTAGCCTTGAGCAAAACAATCTTAGGGACAGTGCCCAAGGCTCTGAGTTCAAGCCGCAGGAGTGGAAAAAGAAATAACAAAAACAAAGATTAGCCCAAAATGTATAGGATAAGTACAATGTACAGGAAACAATCTAATGAAAAAAAATAACCAAACAATATAAACATACAAAGGTGGTAAAGTAAGGAGATTGGGTCTATGTTTCCCCTAGATAATTAGCCCTTGATTTCCCCTGTTAGTTCCCTAGATGGTTTGGTTTTCTATTAGGTTCATCTGGTTCACTTTGCTCATACATAACACTTCACACACTTTGTGTGGTTTTGGCCTATATAAGCTTACTGCTAGCTGCATTCTGGGCTGCTGGTCTTTGAGACAAGAGTCCACCAGCAGTCCTATGGCTTTCCAATAAAGACTAACAATTGGGCCTCTTAAATGGTGGCTTCTCTGTTTCTCATGACTGCGTTTCCTTGTAACAGTGGCAACATGAGTAAATCTCAAAAACAGCATTAAAGTATTTTCTCCCAGAAACAGTTCTCAGACAGCATTCCCTAGGAAGCACCTGAGGTAACCTACGACATTTAAGAAATGTATACTCAAGTAAAGTAAGTGAACAGTTTTCCTTCGGCTCCAGATAACTTAAAAGCACAGGATTTAAAGTTGTGGCTCCTAAGTGGATCCCCTCTGGAAGGAGGATCCCAAGTGATTGTGGTATAGTCACTATATGTAAAGGGTCAGGCAAGGTCTGTAATAGTAACTGGAGGATCCATTCAAAATTCTGCTAGATGTGAAAGGGTAAGGCAGAGGGACAAGGCAGAAAAAAGAGGACTGGAGGGCACAGGAAGAGAAGCAGCACAAAAACAGATTCATGGGCTATTTCATACAGCAGTACTCCAAACGAACAATATCAGAAAGGGAAACAGCCTCATTTACATACATTTCTGGAGTCTTGATCCCCTTCTCTAAGGCCAGGTCCCGATAAGCTTTGCAGGCTATCAGGATGCTTTCTGTTCCCCCAGAGGTAACCTACAATAAGAAGAGATGCAGATTTGAGCATGTTCTGCCACTTTGACCTTGACAATCTTTGATAAGGAAACAGATTAGGAGGTTGACTACATGCAGCAGAGCAGCTTCTGCTTTCTCTCTCAGAAGAAAACTTGACTTTGTTGCTAAGCCCAATTTTGGTTCAGAATGATAACTACTAAATAAGAATGAGTGGGTGCTTAGCACTGTCTACAAATACCTACATTTGCCCACATACAACCCGATCACAATCCACTTATATTTCTTCATTGAATCATTTCTTTTCAGATAGGATAGGGCATTTTGTACCACTCAAAATACCAGAATTACAATTTCCTCCCCAGTGTTGATTATCAAACCCAAGGCCTATGCATACTAAAGTACAAGTTTACCACTTAGGCACTAGCCCTAGTCTAGGATTATTAACTATAATTATTTGAGGTTGGGGGGGGCATTCAGGGCTTTGTGCTTACTAGGCAATAGGTGCTCTACCACTTGAGCCATACCTATTTTTCAAATAAGTCTCACATTAATGCTCAGGCCATAGCTGTGATGATAGGCAAGTACTACCACACTCATCTTTCTATTAGTTGAGATGGAGTCTTACATTTTCCTAGAAAATGTTGATGGCCTAGAACTCTTATTTCCTGATCTCCACCTTATAAGCTGCTAGAATTAAAGCATGAGCCACCTCATCCAGCCTTCATTTTAATTCAGATTTCTACGACTGAACTGGGTTAGATGGCTATGACCATAGATGTATGCCTATAGTAAAATCTACTGGGAACACTGAGGTAGGAAGAGCACTTAGACCAGGAAGTTGGGTATACCATAGACAACATAGTAAGACCCCTATCTCAAAAAAAATTTTAACTCAATAGTGCTGAAAAATGTCCAATTGTAAAGTTACCATTCTAGTCAATTATACAATACATTAGAAGATCAGAGACACTGGCTTTCCAAAGTGAACTAACTGTTAGGGTTTATTTTTTTATTTGTTTGTTTGTATTGCCAGTTCTGGAGCTTGAACTCAGAGAGGCTCAAGGACAGTGCCCAAGCCCTGTGCTCAAGGCTAGCACTCTACCATTTGAACCACAGCACCATTTCCGGCTTTTTCTGTTTATGTGGTACTGAGGAATTGGAAGCCAGGGCTTCATGCATGCTAGGCCAGCACTCTACCACTAAGCCACCTTCCCAGCCCTAACTTGTAGTTTTAATAAGTTTGAAAGGTAGAAAAAAGTGGAAGTTCCTACTTAGAAGTTTGTTTCCTTACTTACTTAAAACTGAAAGAAAAATCCTAATGTTTTAAGTGAAGCTGAAGTTTTCCTAAAGCTAGGTCCAGTCCTTCTGATGGACTGCTTGAATTCTACCAGAGCTGAAACAAGAAGGTACAGAGGTCTTTTCCTAATTTCCTAGCTTGATAACAGACTTAGGCAGGTCAGAGGCCAATCTGCTCCTGACAATATTCCTTATACTTAACCTAGCAGTTGATATCTAACAGAGTTTCAATCAACATTCCTTTGTTTTGTTTCTTGAGACAGAGACTTGAAGTATGTAGCTCCAGGTTGGCCTCAAACTCAAGATGTTCTTGCTTCTGCCTCTGCAATGCTAAGGTTACAGGCAAGCAACACTTCTTTTTCAGAAAAGGTCTTCCTATGTAGCCCAGGCTAGCCTAGAACTTATTATGTAGTTAGGATACTCTTGAACTTGTGATGCCTTGTTTCAGCTTCTCTAGTTTAAGGAGTACAGGTATGTAATCAGGCTTCAATCAGCAGTTTTTTTATTTCAGGTTTGTTTGGGGGGAGGGGGTTGTTCTTATTTTTTTCCAACTGTGGTGCCTGAACTCAGGGTCTGGGCACTGTCCCTGAGCTTTTTCACTCAAGGCTAGAACACTACCATTTTGAGCCACAGCACCACTTCCAGTTTTTTGGTGGTTAATTGCTGATAAGACTCTCACACACTTTCCTGCCTGAGCTGGCTTTTAACCACGAATCTCAGATTTTAGCCTCCTGTAGCTAAGATTACAGGCATGAGCCTCTGACGCCAAATTAAACCAACATTTCTCAAAGCCTAACTTGACTCTCAATAATCTGTGACCCATACAGGCATGTCCTAGCTAACTGACTAGCTTTTGGTAATATCCGAGAATAAATAATTCCAAAACAAAAAGCTATAGCACTGAGCTTTATTACCATCTGTGAAATGAACTTTCTTTTTTTGGGGGGGGCGGGGGGGTCCGGTCATGGGGCCTGAACTCTAGGCCTGGGCGCTGTCCCTCAGCTCTTCAGCTCAAGGCTAGTGCTCTACCACTTGAGCCACAGCCCCACTTCCGGCTTTTTTCTTTTTTGCTTATGTGCTGCTGAGGAATCGAACCCAGGGCCTCATGCATGCAAGGCAAGCGCTCTACCACTGAGCCACCTTCCCAGCCCTGTGAAGTAAACTTTCTATACTCTAGTTTTTTGTGTAGCTTAATATGAGATGGACTGGGAAAGAGTGATTACTAAGCTTTTCTAATATCCACATATAGGACAAAATAGCATTGGATACAGAATCCCAGTGGTCAAGAACTGTATGGAAACTTAGCTCAAGAAAGCCATTTTTTTGCCCATGTAATTGTAACCCCTCTGTACAGCATTTTCACAATAAAAAGTCATTTTTTTTAACACAGGTAGACTTGATGAAACGTGACCATGCTAGGATGGGACCCTTGTTTATGGATCTCTACATTTCTATATTGGTGAAGACTAAGTATACTTATAGCTAAGATCAGCTCTACAAGTCATAAGTGTGTCTTGTGTCCTAGCACAAAACCACAGGGTGTCACATGAGAAGCTGTCTTCATCTTCACAAGATAGTTGTTAAGACAATTAGGGAAGACATAGAAAAGTCAAATCTCTAGCACACCACTCTCTTACTAATGGCAGGTAAAAACCTAAACAAACTATTCCCCACCAAGGAGTTTCCTTATCTTCTGACCAGTGACTGTGTTACTAGGGAGAAATGAGCAACTTGGGAGAAAGAACAATAGGCTTGACTCTATATATCAGAATTATTCCAGGGGTACAGTATAGATTAGTTCAATAGTTGAAGCTTTAAGTATGTAATTACTTTCTTCCAACCAGGCAAAGAGAACTTTTAATAGACTCTCAGAACAGATCTAGAAATTTTAACACAGAGCAAAGCTTTAGAGGAGCCCTGCCTCCAACCAAACAGGGACAGAGAAACCACCTCAGGATGCATCAAGGTGAAGAAAATGGCAATTACGTAAATGTGGAAAGAGGGGATGGGGGGGTGCGCTTTAGAAATTAAAGCCCAACTCAGAAGGAAATAAGCTGGGGGACAGAAGGCATTGCTTTGTAACTGTCCTTCATTCTAGGAAGAAATCTACAAATTATCCTTCAAGAAAACAAAGAGTTCAGATTGGACAACAAAGCAACAAAATGAGACCAAAGACCAATGAAAGAAAAGTAGCAAATGGCACTAATACGGAACTAATCAATCATGGCAGGAATACCAAGAAGCATAACAAACATGGCTGAGAATGAAGCCTTGGCTTGAGGGGGAAAAAAGTCTGAGACAAATTTAGAGGACTCAGATTAGAAAAAGCCCAAGCCTGAAAGATCAGTGGTACTCCTCATGCAGAGAGCTGTGTTCGTCTGGCCAGAGATGACTGGGATGGCTGCACACTCAGAAAATCATATTAGCATCTGCATAACATAGAAAAGATGTGGGAATGAGAAGGCTCAGAAAGACCTTCATGTGGGGGAAAACAAACAAAAAGCACTATATTGGAACTGCTAGATTCAACAATATATATATAAATGCTGCAGCAACCCTTCCAAGTGAAATAACTTAAAAGCTTGCCAAAACATTAAACTGTTGTTAGCTACCACTGAACTGAAACAAAGAAATATACCAAACACTAAAACAGAGAAAAACCCAGAATCCTACAAGATAAAGTATCTGCCAAAGCTAGATGTTTCCCTCAGGGTACCAAGCCTGAAGATGCCTGAACCAAAACAAGGTATAGTGAGGGCCTACTCAAAGTTAGAGTCTAATAAGGGACGGCAAAAACTACCACACTTTTCCATGTGCAAGAAATAAACCTCACAAACACAAAAGAAGGTTTCTTTTCTGAACACAACACTCAGAAGAAGAAAATCTCTCAAAAATATGCAAAATGTTAGTATATAATGTGAGTGTGATATCTGAATTCACAGTGCCTCCATGGTACAACATAGCAAGGGAAGATGGGCTTCAACTAGTTCCAGTGTGGTAGCAATTTCCCGTACTTCACAGCAACTAGAAAAAGTAATTAAAAAAAAAAAAGTGCTTTGGAAGAAAGTAACTTCAGTCTGTAAGTTACCAAGAAAAGGAGTGGCTCATATTGCAATAAATAAATAAATAAACAGCACAAGTGTAAGGAAATCCACCCAGAGTGAAAAGCAACAGAATCAAGACAGGTAAGGCTCATGGACCTTGGAATTATCAAACACTGAATATAAAGTATGTGTAATATACTTAATAAATGAATATAAACCAAAGAAAGGGATTGTAACCAACCAACTTAAAAGAATTTTTAAAGTGAGTTCTCAAGAATAAGAAGCAAAACCGGGTGTCAATGGCTCATCCCTGTAATCCTAGCTACTCAGGAGGCTGAAATCTGAGGATCACGGTTCAAAGCCAGCCCAAGCAGGAAAGTCCATGAGACTCTTATCTCCCATAAAACACTAGAAAACCGGAAGTGGCACTGTGGCTCAAGCGGTAGAGTGCTCATCGTGAGATGAAGAGCTGAGGGATAACGCACAAGCCCAGAGTTCAAGCCCCACAACCGACAAAAAAAAAAAAAGAATAAAGAGCATACCATATGAAATTTTAAAGCTTAATGGAAAAACCAGAATAGATGAAATTGAAAAGAGAGAACTCATAAAACCATCTACATATTATCCAGCTGAGATGCTCCAAGTAAAAGGCCATCTTTCATCTAAGCCATGCCTGCCCCAGCATCTGCTGCTGAAGAACACCTGTGCTTCTACCAGTCATAGTTTTCATGTTATCCATTTTCTCTGGCTGCTGTCAAATATAATAATGTGTGTTGGCTCTTATGAAGTACCTCTGAGCCTCTCTTTTCTACTTGTTTCTCTCTGGATTATTGTTAGGTGCCTTGTGTGGGGTTTTTTTTTTTTTGGGGGGGGAGGGTGGAGGGAGGAAGGTGTAGATGACAAGAAGTGGTCTGTTTTGTTTCCTAAGTATAACTTTGAAATCATATAAATATTTTACAGAGTTCTAACTCAACCAGAGCTCCTTAGAAAAAGGGTGATTCTAGATCTGGAGTAAGATAATCCTGAATATTTTGTCAAAAAGAAAGAAAAGTTTTCAAAGACTATTTTGACAGCTGAGTTGTTAAAAAGTACTTTGGAGCCAAAATGGAGACAATCCTAGTGGCCAAAAATTAAATACTTTGAACATCATGCAGACTGATCACTGCAATGGCCTCAAGCACACGGTGCCTATGATTTTCTCTATGCTGGACATGTATGTGAATTATTTCCAGTTCTGGCACTCATAATTGCTAATATAAACACCCATGTACATACATCCTGATGCACACATTTTTTTTTCTATAGCTTATCTGGAGTAGCCAAATTTCTAGGTCACAATTTACTAGGTATCTTCAATTTAGTAGGTAAGGCCAAATTGTTTTGTGGCTATTTGATCTGTGACCTCTTAAAGTTTATAAAGACACTAATGACAAAAAACAAAAAACAAAAAACTTGTGCATTATCACCATCTCTGTCCATGAGTTATCACATTTAGAGAGTAATTCATTGCCAGATTAGTGATGGTTCAGTTTCTCACAATTTTGGAATTTTGTTTTGAAAATAAATGCCAGACATACTACTATTGTTAGGTACCGAATACTTGATTATGTTGATTTTCATGGTGAAATGTAATAGTAAAATTAAAAAAAATTCTTGCTGTTAAAAAACCTAAAATAACATTTTTGTCTTCTAATGGGTCCCCCATAATTAAATATGAAGACTTTATTATGATTGTAAAGTATAAGACAGGGTCTCTAGGCTACCATACTCAGCACATTGAGTCAAATCTAAAGCTCAGTTTGTTCTAGAGGAGGCAATATGACATAGTAGTGACAAACCTAAGCAGAAGTTCGTCTATCATGGGTTAGGAAAACTAACCATGTCTACTTGAAAAAGCAGAGAACACGAACTCCTCATGTATGTCCAAGACAGAATGATACCAACTATATCAGTCAGTTTACAGCAAAATAATCCACTTCTGGCTCAGGAAGAGTGAAAAGACATTAGAAAGACTGCTAGGTGGGTCGACAGAACTATAAACATAGAGGTTGTGGAATAGGGGTGTAGGTGAGAAAGAATGACAGGGGGAGCAAAAGAAGTGGAAAGACAGAGCAAAATGCTGACATTGCTGGTGTTCTCTATACCATCCCAGCATCTTTATGGAGATTTAAGTATTATAAAGAAGAAGGGAAAAAAAATGTCTAGAAGAATATACACCAAAATGCTCATGTTCTAGATTACAAAATTTCAAGTAACATTTTAAACTGTACTTTATCTCAATCTTTCTACAATAACACATCAATTACTTGTAATAAAATAGTTTTAATGGTCTTCAATTTAAGGTTTAAAAATGTACCATCATTTGATGGTACCCACAAATACTTACACACCCACAGCAATCTGGGCCCCCATTGAACAGGGAGCAGCTCATCCTCACAATTTCTGCTTCTAGCTTACGTAGTCCTGGGAAGACATCTGGATGCAGTGGGTTACTCCATGCAAAATTTCCATAAGCCTGTAAAAAAAATGCAAGGAGATGCAAGGTAAGAGTATTACCTTGCACAGAATAAAGCCTCATGCACTAAAAGTCTCTAGGTATTAAGCCCAATGCTAGAAATTAGAAAGAGAAGATACTATTTCTCTCAGAATTAGAAAGAGAAGAAGATTATTTCTCTCAACTTAAAAATTAAGCCCGGTGCCAATGGCTTTCACCTGTAATCCTAGACCTGAGGAATGTGGTTCGAAGCCAGCCAAGGCAGGAAAGTCTGTGAAACTTATCTCCAAATAATCACAGAAAAAGCCAGGAGTGGCACTGTGGATCCCAAGGTAGAGTGCTAGCCTTGAACAAAAAGGAGCTCAGAGACAGCACCTAGGCCCAGAATTCAAGCCCCAGGACTCAAGCCCCAGGACTGACACAAAAATTTTTTTTAAAAAGATTAAAATATAGTGGAGGGCTGGGAAGGTGGCTCAGTGGTAGAGCACTTGCCTTGCATGCTCAAGGCCCTGGGTTTGATTCCTCAGCACCACATAAGAAAAAAAAGCCAGAAGTGGTGCTGTGCCTCAAGTAGTAGAGCACTAACCTTGAGCTGAAGAGCTGAGGGACAGCGCCCAGGCCCAGAGTTCAGGCCCCACGACCAGACCCCCCCCCCAAAAAAAAATATAGTGGAAGAGACAACATCAAATCTTATAATGTAGCAAGGTAAGTATAAATGTAGTTAAAGGTGGACTATAAAGGTGGACCAACGGACCAGTGTGAAGTCACCGTTTTGCCTATTATTCCTAATTAGATGTGTACACAGTGCTAAGGGACACAAAGAAGAAATAGCTAACACCCTGAGTACTTCGGAGGTGTCTGTTTAGTGGAACCTTGAGAAATGAGTTCAAATTTATCATCTAGAACAGGAGGACCAACAAGACTGAGCATAAGCATTTATTTAAAAATGGCAGAATACTCATTTACAAGGGGAGGTGCAGGAATAGTTAAAATAAGATAGGAGGAAAGAAGCTCATGAAGGAACTCATATGCAAGCACATGAGAACATGATTAATATAGATCATGCAAACTTGTGAAAGACTTCAAGAATAACCAAATTTAGCCAAGCAGAACCACTAATACTTAGTAAGGTACATGCAATTTTATAATTATAGACATAAAGGCTTTAAGAATCAAGAGTCAAGTCGTTATGTCGAAAATGAACTTTACAACCTTGTTGGGGGGGGAGAATTGGGGGGGTGGAAGGATGGGAAGGGATGTGAAGGGGAAACAAAGGAGGAGGCAACAATGCTAGATAAGAAATGTACTCATTGTCTTGCCCATGTAATTGTAACCCCTCTGTACAGTATTTTCACAATAAAAATATTAAAATTTTAAAAAAACAATAAAACAAAAAAAAGAATCAAGAGTCAATTCCTGATACCTTGAGCTATGTGATTTGAGGCTCTCCCCTGAATCTCCTTTTCGAACAAAATTGTCCTAGCATCAAAAATCTCAAATGACAAGATACCCCTTTATAGGAGACTGCCTTCTACATGGGCCTTGTAAAGCCAACAAGCATAAATTTTGCTTTTATACTGAGAAAGCATTTTTAAATACTATTATGTATATTTACTATATCTGCACAAGAGAAATCTTCTAAACCTGTTTTATATCAACAATAAGCTTTCCTGAAGTTAAAAAAAATTACAGAGGGAAGGAAGAAAGAGTGCAAGTAAACTGGCACAGAGCTCAAGCATCCAACCAGCATGACACTCACCTGCACCAGCAGCTCTGTGAGCTTCTGCTCCCCACTGTACACTGTTCCCGAGGCTCTCCCTTCTTGCCAGAGGACATCTGCAGAGAAAGTCAAGGTCACTTGGCCAACAAGTGGGTAACTCTAAGACAGTTAAGTTCTAATAAAGAAGATAAACCCTCTGGACACAGAAATTGCGTAGAAATCCAATGTCATTCTTAATATTAGATCTAGAAAGAAAATTATTTCAATAAAGCTCTAGAGGCAAAATAAAGACAAAAGATTATGAACTAGTGTCAACCACAGCATGAAAAGTTCAACGACATTAATAGTGTAACAAAGATAAAAGCTCATTTAATAAAAACTATGTAGCTCAAGCAGCAGAGTACCTGCCTAGCAAACACAAATCCCTGAGTCCAAACTCCAATATTGCCCCCAAAACCCAGTATTTTAATATGATCTTAAACATGCATGTGTTTGTGTTCATAAGAGCAGTAATAACTAACATTCATTGAATACCTACTATATACCAGATACTATACATTCCGATGTATGATCTCAATCACTATAATCATTCTTCTGATGAAGCAGAAATTACAAAAAAGTAAATATTCTTCCTAAGATCATAATTTAAGTGGCAAAACCATGCTGTGATTGCATAGGTTATGATTGCATAGGTTATGCTCTTCAACAGTAAGCTATCTGGTATACTTCTCCTCATATGAGCTCATGCTCCTATGTGCATATACTATACAAATACTACTAACCTTTTGAGATAGATGGTAATTAGATAGGTAGGTAAATAGGTGGGTGGGTGGGTAGGTAGACAAATATCTCTCTGTAGGCCTAGTTACTGATGTATACAAATGTATCTATCTAGATATATGTCATCTGTCTTCCTCTGTTTATGATGGAATGTGATTTTTTTATTTTGTGGCTTCATAAAAATTTTACAATATTGACATCTATACTTTACTGTATTATATATGTACTTTTTAAAATACAAATTTATCTGTTTTATTCATATTGACAAAAGGAAATGGAACCAAGTTCTACTGTTTGAAATCTACTTTCTCTATAGATGAAAGATATATCAAAAAGTAATTTTTACAATATGAGATTCAGTCTTTGAAACAGGAACAGGACATCCTGAACACAGTAAGCACCAGGGATGAATTACTCTTAACCTATGGGAAACACAGAATGATAACAAGGAAAGAGAATGCCTATACCAAGCATCTTACCCATGGAGCTGTATTCCTTGAGTTTCTCCAGAACTGCAGGTGCACTCAAACCCTGGGAGGGCAGAGCTTTCACATACTCTTTGTCCACTTTCAAGAATGACATGTTCTTGCTGATATCCTCCTTGGCCTTATTCAACTTTTCTTGGATCTTGAAAGTTATAAAAAAAAAATTCTCATTTTGATTTTTTTGATTATTTGTTTTGCCCATCCTGAAGCTTGAACTCTGGGCCTGGACACTGTCCCTGAGCTTCTTTTACTCAAGGTTAGCAATCTACCACTTGAGCCACAGTGCCACTTCTGCCTTTTTTTGAATAATTTAGTGGAGGGAAGAGTCTCGTGGACTTTCCTGCATAGGCTGGCTTCAAACCACGATCCTCAGATCTCAGCCCCTTGAAAAGCTAGAATTATATGTGTGAGCCACCAGCACCTGGCTCCTTTTGATTATTTTAACAAGAAGATGAACCTGAAGTACAGAAGTGCAGAAAAACCCAGGTATAAAATATTCTAGGGAACTATGACATCTCTTTCTTAAAGAGATGTGAGTTATCAGAGATGCACTCCATTTCCTCATGCCCCTTTCCTGACATGGTTTTAGCTGGTTTGCATTTTCTGCTTTAAGTGCTGATCTGAGTGGAATATTTGGCCCCTTGTATTGCCTAAGCAGCAGTTGTAGTGAGCCAAAGAGACAAAAGGTAGAGTCATGAAACCAGCCAAGCCACAGTAAAAGGGATCCTGTTCAATGTGCAAGCAATAAGCAACTTCAACCAACATCCAAGGAGGTCCTATAAAACTCCTTCTGGACAGCAAGCAGAGATGTTAGGAAGAGCCAGGGTGACTATACTGACCAGGTACTGTCTGACCCTGAAATACAAGGGGGAGCTAAGGTTCTTTCTGCTACATATGTTATTAGTTACGATTATTTTTTTTCTATCTTCCTAGCCACAGCTTCTGAGTGTTCATCCTATCTCTTTCTCTGATTCAACAGGTATTTACATTCTAACACTCTCACTCTCTCAACATGGTATTTGCTACATAATTGCTGAAGGCCAGGCCACAGATACATGGTAAACAAACTTAGGTAGTGAGATGCATGATGAAAAACCCCTCCTGGTCTCATGAAGCTTATTTTAGCATAAGAGACAGAGAGGAAGTCAGGTAATAGAAAATGCTACGATAAAATGAGAATGTGTAGACCAAATTGTAGAGCTGAAATTATAAAAAGCTTGAGTGGAAAGTGCAGAGAGAAAGGCTATATGTCATAATTAGTGTATGGCAAGATGCTGTGGCTTCATCAATGTATTTGGTAATGTCTGATGCCCAACATCTTATTCCAAACAATGTATGATTAGAATACACCAGAATCTTCTTAAACATGGCCTTCAATGAGACCACAGGAAAGCTACTCCTGGAAAGCTCACCATCCTTGCTTGTCCATGCTGTGTTATGTTGATATGCCATGGACATGGGTATATTACGTTGTAAATTAAAAATTCTGTGCATACACTGGGTTATTCTAAATTTTAAAAAATTAAAATGAAAAGTTTACCAAAAAGGACAGCAAGTACTTTTTCACCCCCCAATTCTTACCTCTACATTACCCAATTTTAATTTCTTAATAGTACTTATTTCAGTGATGTCCTTTTTTTTTTTTTTTTGCCAGTCGTGGAGCCTGAACTCTGGGCCTGGGCGCTGTTCCTCAGCTCTTCAGCTCAAGGCAAGCACTCTACCACTTGAGCCAGAGTGCCACTTCCTAGTACTTATTTCAAAACGATATTTATATGCATTTGTTTACTTGTTTACTTTCTGTCACTTCTACTATCAATTCCACAGGAGAAAGAATATGGTACTGTTCACCACTTTCTCTTTAACACTCAGAAAAGTACCTGACATCAAGCAAGTACTCAAGAAATATGTTCACTGAGCAATTGAAATGTGAGTTTATATATATACAGACAGAGAGAAACACACACACACACACAGAAAATACCATTCTGTCTTTAAAGATTATCCGATCTCCATTTTTCAAAAGCAGATTCTTAGGTTTAAAGGGTTTCCAATTCTATTATCTTACAAATTTTATCTCAAAAAATCTTAAAACTGAAGGAAAAAAGTGAGGTGGACAAGATGAGGGAAAATTCGGGGAAGACTCAGGAAGGTCCTAATTTCCTTTGTCATAGTTTGTCCTCCATATTATATCCCTTCACCCCAGGAAAGTGAAGGCAACAGTAAAAGAATACTTAAGCAAGTAAAGTTGAGGGACAGGGCAGAATACTGGGGCAGATAGGACACTTCCTGAGCCTGGCAAGAAGCCTGCTTGGCATATCTCCACCTGAGATATAAAAAAAAAGAAAACCACAGAAGAGAGATAATCTGAGTATGACAGAGGGCAGAGAGGACACTATGGCAAAACAGGCACAAAGAGCAAGCTCTAATCAGGAACCAAAGCTGCCTGCCTCCTGTGTTTGTGACTGTTTTTCCTGTAGCACAGCCAGGCTCACTCTTTAACCTGTCCACTTCTCACACAATATATGCAGTATAAATATTTGCTTTACAGAAACTTTACCAATCCCTTATTCCCTAGGTGCCCCACTCCACCAAGTAGAGACAACATAATTGCCTCCAAACATTGCCAACATACATTCTTCCCCTTAAAACTATTAGTTATAACAAACAGAAAAAGGCATGGCTCTAGGAGTGAAAAGACCTTTGAAGATCCCACCTACCTTGCGACCAGTAATTGGCATCTTCCTGATGACTTTAAAGAATTTCTTTTTAAACCTTGACCATAAACCTATGAGAAATAAGTTTCTATTAGTCCTATGAACTTCCAAGAATGTGACCTGATCATCAATAGTGAACAGAGTAAATTATATACTCAAACACTGCTAAGAAAATAAATTCTTTTAATCAGTCTTGCTTGGTTTTTTATTTTTTATTTTTTTTGTTAGTCGTGGGGCTTGAATTCTGGGCCTGGGCACCGTCCCTGTGCTCTTCAGCTCATGGCGAGAACTCTCCCTTTTGAGCCACAGCACTACTTCCTGTTTTCTGTTAGTTAATTGGAAATGAGAGTCTCACTGACTTTCCTGCCCGGGCTGGATTGAACCTTAATACTCAGATCTCAGCCTCCTGAGTAGCTAGGATTACAGGCGTGAGCCCGCTGCACCCAGCTTTTATTTTGTTTTGCCACTCCTGGGGCTTGAACTCAGGCCCTGTGCACTGACCCTGAGCTTCTTTTGCTCAAGGCTAGCACTCTATCACTTGTGCCACAGCACCACTTTTGTTTTTTTCTGTTTATGTGGTACTGAGGAATCGAACCCAGAGCTTCATGCATACTAGGCATGCATTCCCAGCCAATAAAATCTATTTTTAAGTGTTTTCACCATGGGGAAAAAAAGGATATGTAAGTTAATGAATATGCTACTTAGTCTGATTTAGTCAGTCTATATCATACACATCCTTCAAACATCATGTTGTACATCATAAATATAACCTTTGTCAGTTAAAATTTTTTAATTTAAAATAACAAGTGTAAGTGTTAAAAACAGTTCATGACTTTTCATAATTCACAAATTCCTCTCACAGACCCAATACTCATGTAACCCATGATTATTGTGATTAAGATTACTATGCCCATTCAATTATGGGGAAACAGGCTAAGAGAGATTAGGGTGCTGCCCAACACACCCTCAGACATCTAGAGTTTATCCTCCCCAACACATCAAGCTAACTGCTGCTGATACACTGTAGACAACCTCACAGTTAAAACCAGAATCCAACCGTTCAGGAGCAAGCCATGAGCTGATGATCACAGAATGCAAGCAACTAAGGAAGGCAGTGCCCCCGAGTGCGACCAGCTCTACCTCTAGCTCCCAGATCTAGCTCAACCACTTCTCCACTTTCCATATTTTGTGCCAGAACTACTCTCTCCCCTCTCAGGAAGGGATTCAGAGGTTAAAGCTAAATTTAATACTAGTCCAGATTTCAGCCTCCAGTAAAATATACTAAGCACTACAGGATTGTGTTCAGTAGCTCACAGCATACTTCTACTTGAGTAAGATGCTGGAAGAAAAAGGTGAGTTTATCAAAATTGTCACTAATCTTTAGAGAAAAGATATCCTTAATTATGTCTGGAATTCAATTCAGAAATTATTTTGTGTGTATATGTGAAGCAAAAGGAAATTGTTAATATTCAACAACTTTTGTTGGGGGTGGGGAAGAGAGGAGGGTGTCTGCACTTAGGATCTCCAACTTGTTAGGCTCATATGCTACTACTGGAGCTCCAGACCTGACTTTTGCTGCTCTGGTTTTGAGAAAGGATCTCAAAACTGGCTGTTAGTCCTCTAGCTGTCACACAAATTACCCCTCAAGCCAGCTAGAATTACAGGTGTGAGTCACCATTACCACGCAGTATTCAACAGTTTTTTACCTTTAGAAACTATACTCATAAATCAGGCACCAGTGGCTCATACCTATAATCCTAGCTACTCAGGAGGCTGAGAACTGAAAACTGAGTTTAGATCCAGCCTAGACAAATCAAGAGATTTTAATCTCCAAATGACCAGCAAAAAGCCAGAATAAAGGTGTTGGGCCAAGTGGTAGAGTGACAAAATCAAGAGCACAAGGAGCTGAGTTCAAGCCCCAGCACTAGCAACAAAAAAGGAAAATAAAAACAAACAGTATCCTACATTCATGTTCAAAGTGATTCAGACTGACACAAATATAAATAGACAAACAGTATCACTTAGTAAGAAGATCATTTGGTAAACATGTATTCTTATTACTAAACAATACATATTATTAAAAACAAACCAACTAGGCTGGGAATATGGCTTAGTGGTAGAGTGCTTGCCTTGCATTCATGAAACCCTGGGTTCCATTCCTCAGTACTACATAAACAGAAAAAGCCAGAAGTGGTGCTGTGGTTCAAGTGGTAGAGTGCTAGCCTTGAACAAAAGAAGCTCAGGGGCAGTGCCCCGGCCCTGAGTTCAAGCCCAGGACTGGCCAAAAAAAAAAATGACTTATGGTTCATCCCAAATAGTTTTATATGGCACATCTCATTAGTATCTTTCTGCTAACAGTTTTCTCCTGGAAAGCTAGTATCAACAGATAAGTAAGCACCAGGACCTAAGATGGCCACACTTCAGCTAGCAGTTAGCAAAACAAATGACACAGTGAGCTGTGAGAGTAAAGACAGAAGGAAATTTCTGAGCCAAAAAATGTGGGAAATTTTACTAATCCACTTCAGTAATTCCACAATATGTACATATTCCAAAAATCAGGTTGTATAGAATAAGTACAAATTTTATTTGCTAATTAAGTAAAAATTTTAAGATGCAAATACCTAAAAGTAATACTAATCATAACAAATGAATAAAATCTCAACAGCTCTAACTTGAATGATTTGGTTTCATAAATTTATCATAGTATACAGAATGGCTGTTTCTAGGGGTCTGGAAAGAAAGGGGAATGAGAATGTTTTTTTTTTTTCCCCCTTGTCTGCCTCTACTGTTGTTAGTATGAGGCAGGGTCTTACTATGTTGCTCAGGCTGGCTTTGAACTTTTGGACTTCCTACCTCAGCCTCCTGAGTGCTGAGATTAAAGGTATACATATATAATGATGCCTGGCTCAGATTTTTTTGTCATCTCAAACTAAAACTGTGTCATTAAACAAAAACTTCTAGGATGAAGGGTAGTGCTGATTGTACAACAATGGGAATTTACTTAATGCCACCAAACTGTATACTTAAAATGGTTAAAACTAGGACTGGAGGCATAGGTCAAGTGGCAGTGGTGTAATACAGGTTGAGCAAGTGCAAGGCCCAGAGTTCTAGTGACAAATGTTTAAATCCTTTGTAATGTTACTGCCTTCTCATACCAAGGAAGTTAGGCCTGACCCACTAGTAAAAGTGGGGAAGGAGTACAGAGTAGAGTTACAGAAAACCCACCCCCAACTTCCACTACTGGATTTAGGTATAATTAAACAAAACTTAAGCAAGCACAGCCTGTGGGGGCAGAATAATTCAAGGCCACATTCCCCCCCAGGTCTCCAGGTGAGGAGGAGGTAAGGAGCAAGAGAAGGGCTTAGACCTCCGGAAGAGTGCTAGATTTACAAGCAGATCAATAAGACTTGTCAGATGCACTCCCTGAGAATGGTCTCCTCCTTCCCATGTCTATCTTGCTCCTGACTCACTACCATTGTCCCTTGACTCCAAAGGACAGGGACCCTGTCCTACTTATGCAAACATCCCCAGAGCCTAGTACATGTTTGCACACAGCAGGCACACAAACAGTGCGGAGTGAGTGCTGGCCCAATATCACCTCATCATTACTGAAAAGGATGGCCCAAAATGAAAGCAATGAATTTCTGCTCCATAAACAACTATTACATTCTAGAGAGGATACTGGTCCTGATGAGGCTTTATACATACTAAGACATCTGTAGACCCTAACAATGACTAATTTGGGGAGCTTTTATAAAAGCTGCAAATATGCAAAAGAAAAATCACTGTAAACAATCATTACACATGAGCCCTATTATAATTTTACCTACATGAAGACAAAATTCCAATTGCCATTTAAACTAAGTTTTAAAACGGAACCCAACAAAAGGCAAGGAATTAGTTCAAACCAATTAGTCATGAGATCCAAGACCAAGAGACATTTACTCTACTATACTTTCACAGAATAGACAGTGTACTTACTCTCTGGCTGGAAAACAAACTCATACACCCAGACTACCAACAGGGTCCATGCAACACTCCATGCAATCAGTTGCCAGGGCTCATATTTGGTGCAATGTCCATTGACATAATTCTTGGCTTTAGTGGAATATGCTTCCAAAATCTCGAAGTAAGGCTCAAAGGCCTTCTAGAAACACAGGAGAAAAAGAACAGAAACATTACACTCAGAGAGAAAAACAAAGGTCTAGTCTGTTCTTCAATTCACACTTTCAAAGGCAAGGCCATTTCACAATATGGTCCACCTCAGCATTAATCTTATCAAAGCCCCATACCAGTTGCTCCCATATAATACTACCAGTTACAACCTATGAGGACTTTGACATGCTTTTTTATCTTCTGCTTATTTTGTAAAATAGAGGGATACACTTGATCATGTCAGCCCTAAAGCTTTTATGTGACTGTCAATTTACTCTGGCAGTCCTCAAGATGAATCTCTATAAAAACATATACAGGCCCATCATACACAAATGAAGTATGAATGCCATTTCTCTTCTTCATTTGAATCTTCCATTCTCTAAAACAGCCATCTGCAGACCAGTCATATATAAGTAGTGAATATTTCAGATGATGCAAACCAAACATTATGTTACAGCTACTCACCTCTCCTGCAAAATAGTCATAAAAATACTTACATTGTGCAAATGAAATACGGCTACATTCCTACATAATTTATGCTCACTGAAATCAGAAGTTCATATAGTTCTTCCATGTCACAAAGTATCCTTTTTTTGACATTTTTTTAATCTAGAAATCAGCTAACTGCCAGTGGCTCTCACTTGTAATCCTCTCTGGTGAGATCCAGAGGCTCGATCACATCTGAAGCCAGCCCAAGCAGAAAAGCCCACAAGACTCCATCTTAAAGAAGCAAAAAAGCCCTGCTCTGGTGGCTCAAACCTGTAATCCTAGCCACTCAGGAGGCTGAGATCTGAGGATCACAGTTCAAAAACAGCCTGGGCAGAAAATGTCCTCATAAGACTCTTATCTCTAATTAATCACTCAAAAACCAGAACTGGAGATGTGGCTCAAAGTGGCAGAGTACTAGCCTTGGGTAAAAGTGGGATAGCGCCCAGTCCCTAAATTCAAACCCCACAACCACCACCACTACCAACAACAACAACAAAAAAACTCAGCAAAAAGTGGGGCTGAAGATGTGGTTCATGTGATAGAATACCAGCCAAACAAGCAAGCTGAGCAAATATGAAGTTCTGAATTCAAACACCAGAAACACCAAATTAATATAATAATAATAATATAGAAAGCATTCTTATTTCTTAGGCTATAAAAAAAAAAAAAAAAGCAGAGGATTCATTTAGCCCCCAGGCTGAAGTTTGAACAATCCTTACTCTAAGAATCAACTTAACTACAAAAGTCAGGGGCATTATTTATCATTATTGCATACCTCTCAATACCTGACACAAACAAGATAAGGAACCAGTAAAATTACAAAAACTCATCTCTCCCTTTAACATCTCAAGTAGTCACTTGTGATAAGCTTTATATGGAGCAGAGCTTATCACAATTTCTTATAGTCTACTCATCTACTTCTTATCTCTCTGACTACACAGTAAGGTCCTTCTATTTACCACCCCCATAGCACTGTGCAAAACTAGTTTCATCTGAGAGCTTGTTATTCAATTCACCTTTCCAACATTTTTAAGACACTAAGTTGGGAAGCACTCAGGTAAATGTCACAGGTCCATGTCCTTGCTGAGTGTGTCTGTACACATATACGTAGGTGCATCATACATAAAAATGACTAATCAGAACTCTTCAGGGAAAGACTATAGGAGGAGGCCAGTACATACTAAAAGAGTACTGAGGGAGGCTCTAAAATTTAAGCTAAAGAGAAAAAGAAAAAAGGTCTCTAGGCAGGAGAGTTAAAAGAAACAAAAAGCATACCAGATGACAAAACAACAACTGCAAATGCAAACAGAGATGGGAATGGGCAAAGTTCCCTGTGCTAAGAATAAAGCTACATGGGGGCAGGACCATTTTTTTCCTTATCCAATGCTAAGTCCCAATCACATAGCAGAGTGCCTGAACAAAATGTATACTGAACACAAAGCTGGGCAGTGGTTGACAGTGCCTGAGTAAATGAGGAAACAAGTCAGAGAACTTAGCCTGCAAAAAGGATACTAGGTACATAGTAAAAATGGGCTTGATAGGAATGGGGGGAGTGGCTCAAGTGGTAGTGTGCCTGCCTAAGTGTCATGTACTGAGTTCAAACCCCAGCACTGCCAAAAAGGGGGCAGAGGGGAGGAAGAAAGGGAAGAGTTGAGAATGTAACTCAGTGGTAGAGTGCTTGTCCACAAGCATACAGCCCTGAGTTCAACCCAAAGAACCACACAAAAAACAAAGTGAAATGTAGGGGAAAATAATGAAGTATAAATTTGGTAGAACTTTTTGTACAACAATTTATTAGCATTTACCAATATTGTAAATGAATGCTCATTTTGACACAGAAATGCTAATTGTCAGCTCCTACAGATGTGCACAGAGACATATCAAGGAAATTCATCCCGATATTCTTTGTAATATAGCAAAACAAAATTTAAAAAAATGTCCACCCATACGAGAAAGGCTAAACTCTAAATACACAGTATTTTATGTACCCCACACTGTGAACCACTAAAAAGAGAGAGGACAGACTATATTTTACACGAAGCATTTTCCATAACAAAACTGAACAAAAGGAAGCAAACTGCACAATAAAAAAAACATAGATAATTGAACTTTTTTTTTCCTTAAAGATAATTTTGTACTAGATGGAAACAGGAGTGTAGATTATAGAACAAAATTTTGGTTGCAAGGTTGGCTAGAAAGTCCAGGGAGAAACACTCTAGAGATTTTAAAGAATAATATGGATTTCAAAGATATTTGTGGAGGCAAACAGAATTTGATAACTTATTAGACATGAAGTTAACATAATATAGATAATTCCACATTTTCAAGCTTAAGTTCAAAAGACTAGTAATGATGGTACCATTAACTATGGTAATACTAGAATAGCTAGGGAAGCTGAGAAAAAATAACATGGCTTGAACTGTGATGTCTTAGATATCCATCTGTACCGCAGTAGTAGGAATGTAAAAACTTAGGAGGAAGACAGGTGCTAAGCAAATGCATTTTGAATCTTTCATGGACTGAAGGCTTATATTCCCCTAAAACTTCTATGGTAAATCTATCGCCTAAGCTTATGCTATTAGAAAGTGGAACCTCTGGGAAGTGATCAGAAGATGAAAATGCAGCCCTCATGGATAGGATAGATAGTGCTTTAGAAGACACCTCTTTTTCCTAGGAATAATTTGTTTGGCATTTTGTTATAATGGCCCAAATGGACAACAACAATACCCATAGTAATTAGACTGTGGTAAAACACAATTAACACAAGGGAAGTACTGGATCCCATGAGGGCTGTCCATGGAAACTGCCTATCAGCAGCACCTCTGCCACCAACAAAGTTCTTTGAGACCATTCCCGAGAGCCCATTGTTGCCATCAACAACTTCAATTTTGCAAAGCAGTGGCAGTTCCAATGGAAACCTGGCCAAGACCAGAGATTTCTGTCATCATCAAAGGTATGCCATGACTTCCATTAGCTAAAAAGTCACCTTGTGTTACAGCTGTGGTCAGACTCTATAATTAAGCAGTGTGGTGTATATGCATGGAAAGAATCATCACTCCAATCAGCTTTCCTTCTGCAGACATTAATTTCAAATTAAAATTAGAAAGTAACAATGTCAAAAGATGTCTGAAGACATCAGCAACTCTTCAAAGCATTGACTGAAAAATAACAGAACCAGTATTAAAGTTAGCCAAGGACCAGAAAATACAAACCAATTTTTAAAGGCCTTTAAATAATATATGAAGACATTCTTCATTAACATTATAAAAATTAAATTAAGCAAGCATACATGTTTTTGTTATTGGTTTGATTCTTAATACAAGCCCTGGGATTCAAACAAATACTTTTAAGAAGAGATATAGATTAGATATCTGTAAGTTTTCTAAGTCCAGAGGCAGAATAGTATGTTTAATGTAGTTGGGTGGGCCTTGACAATCTTATTGAGTCAGCATCTAAGTGATCACAGAAATTTCATCTGCTGGCATCATTCTAAGTCCCTCTAGGTTACCACAAATAACCTAGGCTCAGTCCCCAATGAAAAAGCACCTTACCACACCAACACTCATTGTGCTCATTGGGCTCTGGGTGATACAGCTTTCTCCTTGGAAAAAAAGGGATGAGGCATTTCTGGGGGGCCTTGACAACAGCACAAACCCCAGAATGGGCCCTGATGCAATTCTCAGCCCCTGGGAAGCATAGAATCTAGCTGCTGAGGAGAATCTTAAGTATCTAGTGCAACATTCTCACTTTGTAAGCAGAAGCCAAAGGGAAAAAGGTGTGCCTAAGCTCATTCATATAGGCTTGTGAGAGAGCAGAGCTCAGGAATCTAAGCCTCCTGACTTGGTTTTTTTCTCAAAACTCCAGTCCCTTTCTTCCTCTCACATTCTTCACTTCTAACACAACTGCAAGATTTAACCCCCAACAGTTTTCCCAGAAGAGTAGAAGTCTAAATTTTAAAGCAGGAATGGCAGGGAATGGGGGAGAGACTGATGAAAAACAGTTTTACCCAGTACTTAGAAGAGTCTTAAGATCATTTAAAGACCCAGCATCACTATCCTTACTCTATTTCTGTCCTAAAAATAAAAAAAAAAACAAAGACTGTGGTTTTCTTTCATAAAGTACACAAGTACACAAACACTATTGTCTTTGGTGACTCAAATAGCATTAGTGTTATCAGCAAAAACAGATCACAAGCCCAAAGGAAAAACTCCCTTGGGTCATTAAAGAAGAAGTGACAATTGAGCAACAAAGCCAAACAGCTATTCCAAGCAACCAGTAGTGATTATGACAAAAATGTTTGAAGCAACAGATTCATCATTTCTTAGGAGATCAAGAGCAAACCACACACTTCCTCTAAAATTCTACTATGTTGGTCAAGATGCCCAGAATCTGAGAGTTGGTCTCAAGGAGTTTAATGATCAACAGGTTCCCTTCCAAATGTACCTGGTCAAAGTCAGAGCTGTCTGTCACTAAGTACTATTCCACACGCACTTCCAGGTTTAC